CCCAGGCTGAACAGTGAACCTCGGAGGTAACTTCACCACTGAGCTAAAAGGGTGTCTGGGGGCCATACTCTCGAGGTTTCTCCAGTCTTTTGTCCTCACTTTCTTGCTCAGCCTTGCCTGGTAGCTGACTTCCCTGCTCTGGAATGGCCAAGCTGAGGACAGAGGTTTAACTGAGGCTCCCCACTCCCCCTCCACACCCATCCCTTCCTCCTCAACACACCTCATGCCCTTCTCTTACTCTGCTCCACTTGTCTCCCTGAAGTTCTCTCAGCCCTCCTGGCCCTCTGTCCATGCCCTTTGACCCACCTCTGCCTCCTCCCAGTGACCCACTGCTATCTGGGCCGATTCTTCTGCAGAGAGACAGAGAACCTGGCCAGGGCCAGGGCCAGGGCCAGAGGCAGGGAGTGAAGATTACTGTGGGGAGGGGACAGCAAGGGTCTCAGAGAGGGTAACCAAGGACCAGAGTGTGAGCAAGTGAGTGTTAGACACAGAGGGGAGTGTGAGGGGACAGACCGGTTGACAGAGAGTTCAGAGAGGAGAAAGGAGCATGGAGAACACCAAGGGGAAAAAATGAGATTAAAGCACGGGCTCTGTTGAGATTAAAAGCTCAGAGAGAGGACCATGCTGAGAAGCTGACTGACAGGACAGAGAAGGAAACTTCTAGAAAGGGATGTCTCCACAGGCAGGCATGAGTCCTGGAGAGCTTAAGGTTTAGGGGTGAGTGTTAATAATGAAAATAGACATATTTTATATCACCTACTCTGTTTCAGCCACTTGATTTATTAGTTTACAAACATAATCCCCTCATTCTTTAAATACCATCAACCCCATTTTACAGTTAAGTTATGTTGGGAATGAGTGCCTGGGAAGACTCATGCAGCCATAGCTGTTGCTAGCAGGAAGCGCCCTTGGCCAACTCCTCCTCCTTCCCTGGGACAGTACATGTTTTCTCTGAAAACTGGAGTTTCACTTCTCAGCCCAGCACAAGAGTGTCAGGGAGGTCTGGGGAGGAGAGGATTATAAGGATTCCTGGGTCCTGGAGTACATGAAAGGGTGAACTGTGAGCTTCTAGCTTGGGAAGGTCTAGGACTGGGGGTTGGGAGCGGACACTGGGAAGCAGAGGTAGGGGCAATAGTGGTTCAATAGGGGAGGTCCTGGACCCACCCCGGGAGGTTTCAGATCCACTCGTTGGGAGCAAAGTTGATTTAGGATCCTGTCCCCAGCCCTGCTGACAACAGCTGTGCCCAGAGAGGTGGGCCCCATGGGGGCTGGGAGAGTTTGGGGCAGAGCAGGGGGGATGGGTACTGGAGGAGCAAAGGCAATGAAGCCTAAGGGAGAGGAGGAAGACAGGGACAGAGGTGGAGACTCTGGGGAAGGTGGAATGCAGCCCTGATGGAAGTAAAGGGAGGGGTAGAGTTCAGTGTAAAGGGAATGCATAGGGGCTGAGGGGTGGGGGGTGGGAGAGGTGTGAGGTCTCGGAAAACTGAGTTACAGCTGGCAAATGGCTCTTCTGAGAAGAGGTGGTGCCCACACTCCCAGACAGACAGGACAAAACATGAGCACAGACCCCTGTAGCCTGCTCAGTCCTAGGTCAAAAGCTGCACTGGCTAGACCACCTCTCCCTTCTCCTCCCCCTGCCTCAGTTCTCCCTCCACCCACAGCTTTGAGGGACCCCCCTCAGCCTCCCCTTAGCCTCAGAACCACCCTCCCCACCCCTGCCTGTGCAAATCTGCAGGGTTTCTCCAGCATTCCCCTCCACCCCCCCCTCCACTGCCACCTCTATCCCTTACCTGTGGCCCCCAGGGAGGCCCTGAGCAGCCAGAAGAGGCTGAGGAACCCAAGCAGCTGCATGGATCTGGTGGACAGGGTAGGCCAAGGGGGCTGGCGCCAGCAAAGGGGCTGCGTAGCAGCAGGGAGGCAGCCACAGGGTATTAACAGCTGCCACACTTTGAACCGAAAGTGAAAAATCGTGGTTACCTCCCTTGCTGGGCATGTGAGTTGTGCATACCTTCACCTTTGCACCGCTGAACCTCACCCCTCTTCCTCCTTCTCCCTTAATCCAGACTTCAGCTGTGCTGTGGGAAGAAGACACTGAGAAGCAAAGATAAAATAAGCCCAGGAGGTGTCAGGCAGGGAGAACTGCTGGTCACCCAACCCCCGCAGCCTGCTGGCCCACCGGGAGCAGCTCCCAGGAGCTTCCCTTCCCCTCCCCCTAAGAGCTGCAACACTGGCTTAGAACACACTTGGCCCTGGACTCTGGAATCCAAGTGCTGCTCTCACACCCTCCCTCTAGTCTTAGTCCTACCTGGTAGTGAAAATCTCGCTCTTGCCTTTATCCTGTCATCGGCAACACTCTGGGGCTGTGACTTCATAGCCAGACAAAACTGTGGGAGCAACACAGAATTTAGTCATAACTCATTTTAATATCTGCAGAGTCAGAGAGGGTCCCAGAAAAGAAAATACAGATGGACAATGGAAACAACCAAGCAGAAATCCTTCTTTTTTTTTTGAAATAATAATTTTATTGTGTTTTCAGAGAAGGTTTACACAGCAGTTTAGGTTCCCATTCAACAATTTCTGCACAAATTGTTCAGTGACATTGGTTACATTTTGCACAGTGCGTGAGCATTCTCACTAATTCCATTCTGGTTATTCCGTTTCCTTTAATCTAGTTTCCCTGCCCCCTTCCATTCCCCTCTTTGTTTTAAAGTAATTGTTGACCGTTTGGTCTCATATAGGTGAGTTTTTAAAGGAGCACAGTACTTATGAGTGATACTCAGTATTTATTGAGCCAGTCTGTTACTTAGATATGCGATGACCTCAGAGGTTAGTTTCGGTTCAAGATTTGAAGAGTATCTCAGGGCAATAAACTTGGGGCGTCCTCCAGTCTTAACCAGTTCAGTAGGTCTGGTTTTTTTTTTTTTTAATCGTTGTACTTTAAGTGAAAGTCTACAATGCAAGTTAGTCTCTCATACAAAAATTTATACATACATTGTTATGTGACCCTAGTTGCTCTCCCTATACTGTGACAGCACACTCCTTCTTTCCACTCCTGATTTCCCGTGTCCATTCAACCAGCTCCTGACTCTCTCTGCCTTCTCATCTCACCTCCGGACAGGAACTGCCCATTTAGTCTCTTGTATCTACTTGAGCTGAGAAGCACACTCTTTGCAAGTATCATTTTGTGTCCCATAGTCCAGTCTAATCTTTGTCTGAAGAGTTGGCCTCAGGAATGCTTTTAGTTCTGGGTTGACAGAGTCCGGGGGCCATGCTTTCTGAAATCCTATTTTTGACCCAGCAGATCAGCGACTATTTAAAAGCTTAATTCCATCAACTGTTAGCAAAGGTGAAGACATTTTAAAGCCACAGAGCCCAGAGCCATCTCAGGGGAGGCAGTGGATGACAGGCTGCTCTTGGGGTCCTCCATTTTGGTTTCCTGACACATTTGACCAGTTTGTACAGCATTAAAATATATATTTTTTCAGAAAGTTTTGTCATTGTTTCCTTCCAGAGGTACCCATGGGGCTGGAGGTAGGCGACTAAGCGCCAGGACAGGCCAAGATGCTAGAAATAAAACTGGAGGATTGGGATTTTTTAAATCTTTTTTTAAAATCTACCAAAAGCCATAAATGCCAGTCACTGCACTGGGGACACAAACATGAACTGATCCCTATTGCAAAGACCATACAGGCTCCCGGGGAGATGGATCCAAAGCTGACTCTTTCCAGCTCCCGAATTCCTCCACTTTCTCCTGTAGTGTCCTCTTCTACTGACCACAGCCTCCTGCTCCAGCCAGACTGGCCTCCTTGCCTCCAGCTTTCCTGCCTCCAGCTTTCCCACCTCCAGGCTTTTGCCTAAGCTGTTTTTGACACCAGGAATGCCCTCTCTGCCTCCTTTTCTCTTTTCTCAGTCTATGAAAATCCTACCCACCCTTTCCCTTCCTGCTCCTTTCTTGCCTCCACTAGGAAGCCATATGTCATCAGGAAAGTGACCTCTCCCTCCTCTGACATTTAACAGTGCTTATTACCGGTATCTCTCCCATGGAACTTACTTATCACTAACTGACAGATATTACACTCATTAGCGTGCCTGTACACCGAAGGGAGGGGAAGGTGACATCATAGCATTCCCAGCTAGGGCAGTGGCCGCTTTGCCACTGGAAGCAGTGGAGCCCCAGCTCCACTCAGGGAAATAACCACCAAATCAAACTCACTGCGATAGAGTCAATTCCGACTCATAGTGACCCTACAGAACAGAGTAGAACAGCTCCATAGGATTTTTCAAGGTTGTAAATATTTGCAGGAGCAGACTGCCACGTCTTTCTCCCGCAGAGCAGCTGGTGGATTCGAACTACCAACCTTGTGGTTAGCAGCCGAGTGCTTAACCACTGTGCCAACAGGGCTCCTCAGGAGATGGACAAGTATAACTGTTGGAGCCTTCCTGCTGCTGCCCTAGACTCCTCCACCCCCATGCTGTGGTCCAGCCTTTGTGGAAAAGCTGGAGGGGATGGAAGGGAAGAGCCACAGCAGCAAGCACCTCATGCGTTTACCCCACTGTGCTAAACCAGGTTGGAAAGCACTGCTGTAACTGTCAGATAGAGCCTTTCTTTAGACTGCCCACATACCACAGAGACCTAGAGATGGCTCCACAAGTGAGTATGATCCCAGCCACCTGATGGAGTTGGAGGTGGACAAGAGGGCTGCTGGCAAGAAGGGGAGAGGTGGGAAGCCATGTAAGGACTGGGAGCCAAGGAGGGAAGGTTTGGCCCAGTCTTCTGGGACACCTACCATGGGGCTCCTTCCTGGCACCTCAGTCCACAGGCCAGGTGACACTAAAATGGGGTCCATGGTAGGTCAGTGAAGGTCACTGATCTCTCTCCAAGGTCCCACCATTGTCACAGGTACCTGGGAGAAGACTTGAATCTAGGAAAGTACAGGCTGGGACCTGTCCCTTGGCTTCCCCATTCCCCAAATGTCAAGGATTAGGGACAAAGTGGTGAAGATGGGCAGGGAATCCTGGTCACTGGATTGGGCTAGGGAGATAATTCAGAGCTGGGCACAAAGACAGGGAGAGGGGAGGATGATAGTGAATTTAAGTCAGTCCAACATAAGGGCATGGTCAGATTTTATTGTTGTGGGTGTTTGAGGAAGTCCAATAAATAGAAACCTTTTCCCTATCTGACTTCTGAATCAGTTGAGAGATACGATTAGAGTAGCATTAATATGAGAGTAAAATACCATCTTTGTTACCTAGACAGCTGGTATGGAGAATGAGGGTTATATCTCAGGCAATTGAGATTTCTAATACTGGCCACATAATGGACAAACTTACCCACTGCTGTAAGTGGTGTTGAACCAGGGCCTCCCCACAAGCAAGTTTATGCCTGAAGATTTACAACATGGAACAGCAGAGAAAAATGCCTACTTTTGGCTGGCAGCTCATCTTCAGGGGAGGGTCTAGCTGTGCATGTCCAGTTTCTGTTTCTAAACTCACCTGATGGAACAGGTCACTCCTCCCCCAAGGAGTGAGAGGGTGGAAGAGGTTGGGAATGTTAGGTGCCCTACAATGGATTGCTTTCATATGGCCTTGCCTGCCATGGGCTTGTAACTCCCACCAACGATTGGATGGGACAAAGCCAATAAGGTGCCTGTGGCCCATCAAGGGGATTGGATAGCCTGCTAATAATGCAAATAATGTTCATGGCACCCTTGCGGGGGTGGGACCATGCAAATAAGGTGTATGGAACCCTAATGAGGGGATTGGTCAGTTTTGCCATCCCACTAGGCTTAAAATGAGCCATCCCAGAGGTGGGAAGGGGAGGACCTCACCACCACCAAGGAGAAGAAATAGTGGAGTGTATTCTTTGGACCCGAGATCCCTGTGCTGGGAACCTCGTGGACCCAGGAGACAGAGACAGCTGTAACACCGGAGACAGCAAGAGATGGCAATAAGCAGCATCAGAGAAATGGCAGCAGCAGAGGCAGCAGAACCCAGGAGATGACAGGAGACAGCATGGTGGGCTTCCTGACCCATGGAGCTAGAGAGAGTGCCATTGGGCAGGAGGCTTGCTGGCGGAGTAGGGTGCCTTCGGTCACTTATCAGTGGAGCTAAAGAACTTTGTAACACTTGCCTGAGCAGGGCAGAGGCGGGGCGAGGGGCCAAGGGGCTGAGGAGTTGAGAGGCCAAGCCACTGAAGGGCCAAAGGCCAGAGCGAGACCTGCCTGTGGGCACAGCTGAGAAGAAACTGTCAAAACTGAAGAACTTTACCCTGATTCGTTTCTGATCCTGAATTATAACCTGTTACTTCCCTAATAAACCCCATAATCATGAGTATTGTCTGTGAGTTCTGTGTGGCCATTGCAATGAATTATTAAACCCAGCAGAGAAGTAGAAAGTGCTGTCGGTGGGACAGTTGGTGTCAGAATTGGGAAAAAGGTTAGAGAGAGGAGGTGTATCCGACCTCCACCTCAGAGGAATCAGCCTTGGGCTGTTAATGCTGATCTTGATTCTCCTCCTCGCTTGTGAAGTTAGAGGGGGTCAGAGGCTCCCACCACACCATGTTTACATTAGGCCAGTGTGCTCACCGCCCCCCTTCACCGTGTGATCATAGGAGTTGTGGCTGCATTTGCCACTGATGCTGTCAGGTGGTGGAAGTTGAGGGGCTGGCCAGAGTGGTCTCTGAAGTTATGTGGTGGGAGGGATAGTGTGTTACCCACACAGGTTGCCTCAAAATTCCAAACCATCTGCAAGTCAGCAGAGAAAGGACACAAACACAAAAAGCTTATATGGAAGAGATGCACAGGCCAGGCTGGGTGGGGGTGTCCACATGGAGCTTCCTATCCCCAGAGATG